TAATGAAATCTTTTGCCATTTTCCCAATTTTGGTTGGGGTATATAAGAATGTTGAAGGGCCAGTGGATGCAGACACAACATACCCAAACTTATGGGAAACTTTGAAAGCAGTGCTAAGAGGGAAGTTCATAGAGCTAAGTGCCTGCATGAGGAAACAGGAGAATAATCACACTAGAGAATTAACAACACAATTGACAGCTCTAGAACACAAAGAAGCCAATACACCCCGGAGGAGTAGATGCCAGGAAATAATCAAATTGAGGGCTGAAATCAATAAAGTGGAAACTAGGAGAACAGTACAAAGAATCAATTAAACAAAGAGTTGGTTCTTTGACAAGATCAACAAGATAGACAAATCCTTATCCAAACTTACCAAGCAGCAGAGAGTGAACATGCAAATTAATAAAATCAGTAATGAAAAGGGGGACATAACAACAGACACAGAGGAAATCCAGAAAATCATCAGGTCATACTTCGAAAACCTGTATTCCTCAAATTTCGAAAATCTAAAGGAAATGAACAATTTTCTGCACAGAGTTCACTTACCAAATTTAAATCAAGAACAGATAAGCAACTTAAACAGACCTATAACCTCTAAGGAAATAGAAGCAGTCATCAAAAGTTTCCCAACCAAAAAAAGCTCAGGACCAGATGGCTTTGGTGCAGAATTCTACCAGAAATTCAAGGAACAGCTAACACCAATTCTCCTCAAAGTAGTCCATACAATAGAAGCAGAAGGGTCATTGCCAAACTCTTTTTATGAGGCTTCAATAACCTTGATACCCAAGCCACACAAAGACGCAACTAAGAAAGAGAACTTCAGACCAATATCCCTCATGAACATTGACACATGGCCAGAGAAGCTCAAGGTGGACCCTAAGAGAGACATACATGGTTCCCTGGAGAAGGGGCAAAGGGACAAGATCTCCTGAGCAAATTGGGAGCAAGGGAGGAGTGGGGAGGGAGCTAGGAGAATGAGAAGGGGAGAAGAGGAGGTGGGAGGAGGACATGAGGGAGCAGAAAGGTTGAGTCAGGGGAAGAATAGAAGATAACAAGAATGGAGATACCATACTAGAGGGAGACATGTTAGGTTTACAGAGAAATCAGGCACTAGGAAAAGGTCTGAAGATCTACAAAGATGACACCAACTAAGAAACTAAGCATCCAGCAGCTGGTGGAAGTAGAAGCAGACACCCACGATTAATCACTGAACTGAACTGGAATCTAGTTGCAGAGAAGAATGAGTGATGGGCAAAAGGGTCCAGACCAAACTGATGAAACCCACAGAAACAGCTGACCTGAACAACGGGGATCTCTTGCTCCCCAGACTGATAGATTGGATACTAGCATGGGACTGATCCAGACCCCAGAAAAGTGGGTTTCAGTGGGGAGACCTCGGAAATCTACAGGACCTCCTATAATAGTTCAGTACTTATCCCTAGGTGTGAACTTTGGGATCCCAATCCACTTACACGGAGGTGGGCCTAGGCCCTATCCCAAAGGATATGATAGACTCTGATGACCCCCTATGGAAGGCTTCACCCTCCCTGGGGAGCAGAAAGAATATGTATTAGATAGGGTTTTAGTTGGGGGTGGTAGTTTGCGGCTTAAAGCCAGCTCTGTGAGCCTCCTGTAACCTGTAATTAGATACGGTTTGGCCAAGCGGAACTGCTAACTGTTTTTGTTCTGAGAAAGGGTCTGGAGCTTTTCTGTTCGCTGTTCCAAGAAAGACCACTAGATATTCCGGCTGACAAGAAGAATGTTCCAGTCCCAGCAAATACCTGATGTTTCTTCTATTATTCCCCCCAATTCTATTGTTGCAGGGCTATTTAAGCCCACTCTAAGCCCCAGTAAATCGAGACCTTGACATTGCACCGACGGACTCTTGTCCTTTCTTGTGCCGCTTGGTCTCCTTTTCTCTCTAGCCCCCATTGACCCCCCTAGGTGATACCTCCTCAAGACCCACAAATACCCTGGCCTGCTGGACGGGTCAGAACACTCCTCCACTGTTGGTGGGAGTGAAGACTTGTAAAACCACTTTGTAAATTAGAATGGTGAAGGGACCAGCTCCCCATTTTGGCAACCATGACAGCCCAACACGTGCTTGCCTGACCTTGCCTTGGTCACTAGGAGGTCAGATGCCTGCCTCGTGGCAAGGAACCAATCAGAAGTTAGCTAATGGTTCTATGCTTTACAGCTCTGGGTGTGCTTTACAGACAAGTGCACAGCAATGATGCACAGAGCATAGCAATCACCCTGGGCGGGCCTATGGGCCATAACAACCAGTTGACCAATCAACACAGGGCAGGCCCTCCAAGCATGGAGGCACACCAATCCTGAGCCTGTGCGTACTCCTAGACACTCCCCTTATTCTGCCTTATAAGATCTCTATGCCGTGGTTTCTCGGCATCTTTTCCCAGCCATCTGCAATGGTGGATGGGGGAAAGGCCTGAGCTAACATAGGGTTAGTTTGTTAAACAACTGCAATAAAACCCCTTGCTGTTTGCATCAAGTTTTCGACTCTGCCTGGTGATTGGGGTCGTCATAGTCCTGGGCCAAGATCCTGGGGGCCTGAGCCTCCAGGGGTCTTTCAATGGCAGTTTCTCAGAATCTACCTCAAGACCCAGCAATACCACTCTTGGGCTTATATCCAAATGATGCTCAATCATACCACAAGGATATTTGCCCAACTATGTTCATAGCAGAATTATACATAATAGCCAGAACATGGAAACAATCTAGATGCCCCTTAACTGAATAATGGAACAAGAAAATGTGTTACATTTATACAGTGGAGTACTACTCAGCAGTAAAAAACAATGACATCATGCAATTTGCAGGCAAATGGATGGAACTAGAAAAAACCTTCCTGAATGATATAATGCAGACCCAGAAAGATAAACATGAACCTTCATCCAGTAACTGGTGGATGCAGATGAAGATGTCCACAGCTGAGCACTGGGCCAAGTTTAGAGAGTCCAGTCAAAGAGAGGGAGGAGAGATTATATGAGCAAGGAGAATTAAGATCATGACAGGGAAACCTACAGTAATAGCTGACCCAAGCTTGTGGGAGTTCATAGACCCTAGACTGACAGCTAGGAAGCCTGCATGGACACTACCTAGGCTCATTGCATGTGGGTGACAGCTGTGTTGCTTGGTCTGTTGGTGAAGCCCCTAGCAGTGGGACCAGGATCTGTCCCTGGTACATGACTAGCTTTTTGGAACCCATTCCCTTTGGTGGGATGCCTTGCTCAACCTTGATGCAGGAAAGAGGAGGTAGGTCCTGCCTCTAGTTAATATGCCAGGCTCTGTTAACTCCCCTGGAAGGCCTTATCCTTTCTGAGGAGTGGATGGGGAGAGGAAGAAAGTGGGGAGAAGGAAAAGGAAGAAAGGAGGAAGAGGAAAATGAATAAAATGAATAAAAATTTTTAAATTAAACCAACAACAAAATATTTACAGCGATATAATTAATTATACTTGTATATTTAGGAATACATATGATATAGGAATATATTTATAGGAGTTGTTGGCCAAAATGTCCCATGAAAATTTCCAAATAACTTAGGTTGTTGCCAAGACAATAGGTTGTTTGTCACAAACTGGCAGTGGGACCTATTGCAGAAGACAACATGCACACAATTCATTGAACATGGAGAGTTTGACCTGGTGCCTATGTAGAACCTTTAACCCCTTCATCCTAATGTCTTTAGTATGTGAAGTTACTCTGCAGGCTAAGAAAGGAGAAAAACATGAACACCAGCCTACAATTCACACTGCCAGAGAAGCTAGTAAACAAGGAGAACCCCTGGAGAAGGGGAAAGGGACAAGATCTCCTGAGCAATTTGTGAGCATTGGGGGAGGGGAGAGTGAGTTGGGAGAAAGATATGGGGAGAAGAGAATGGGAGAGGAGGACATGAGGGAGCAGGAAGATTGAGTCAGGGGAAGAATAGAAGAGAGCAAGAAAGGAGATACCATAATAGAAGGAGCCATTATTGGTTTAAAGAGAAATCTGGCACTAGGGAAATGTCCAAAGATTTACAAGGATGACCCCAAATAACAATCTAAACAATAGTGGAGAGGCTACCTTAAATGGCCTTCCCCAATAATAAGATTGATGACTACCTCATATGCCATCCTAGACCATTCATCCAGTAGCTGATGGAAGCAGAAGCAGTCACTCACAGCTAAACACTGAGCTGAACTCCCAGATTCCATTTGCAGAGAGGGAGGAGTGATGAGCCAAAGGGCTTAAGACCAGGCTGGGGAAACACACAGAAACAGCTGACCTGAACAAGGAGGAGCTCATGGACCCCAGACTGATAGCTGGGAAACCAGCATAGGACTGATTCAGACTCTCTGAACGGGTCAGTTAGGAGGTCTGGGCAATCTATGGGGCCTCTGGTAGTGGATCAGTATTTATCCCTAGTACAGGAATGGACTTTGGGAACCCATTCCACACAGAGGGTTACTCTCTTAGCCTAGACACATGAGGGAGGGTCAAGGCTCTGCTCCAAATGATATGACAGACTTTTGAAGATCCACCATGGAATGCCTCACTCTCCCTGGGGAGCAGAAAGGGTATAGGATAGGGAGTTGGTGGGGACAGGGGAGGAGGGAAGGGAGAGGGAACTGGGATTGACATGTAAAACAAGCTTGTTTCTAATTTAAATTTTAAAAAAGGAAAAAAAAAGAGTAAGAGATCCACTCATTTACTCCTTCAGGTGTCCCATAAAATTAGTTAACCAAAAACTATAATGTATGCAGCAGACCTGATATAGACCTGTATAGGCCCTATGCTTGGGGCATCAGTCTCTGTAAATTCGTATGCAATTTGCTCAGTTGATTAGAGGGGCTTGTTCTTCTGGTAGCCTCCATCCCTTCTGTCTCTCCAACTCCTGCCACATTTTCCCCAGGACTCCCTGGGCTCTCGGGGGGAGGGATTTGATGAAGACAACCCATTTGGAGTCATATGATTCAAGGTCCCTTTGTATATGTAATGTTTAGCTGAGAGTCCCTGCATCTGTTCTCAGCTGCTGCCTGAGGAAGTCTCTGATGATGGCTGAATAAGGAAATGAACTATGAGTAAAGCATAAATCATTAGGAGTCATTTTATCACTCCTTTTAAAAAGACTAATAGTATTTGATTTTATCCATTGCTTTCAAGATATCTCATCTCTGGTTCTAGGTCACCCAAGCAGTGTTGGATATTGGTTCCATCTCATAGAGTGGGCCTTAAATCAAGTCAGACATTGATTGCTTACTCCCATAAGTTCTGTGTCACCATTGTCCCAGCATATTTTTCAGGCAGGGCAGATTGTAGCTCAAAGGGTTTATGATTGGGTTTGTATTTTTTCTTTCTGTAGTCTGAAAAGTACCTTCCTGCACCAAAGGCATGAAAATAATGTTTTTCTTATGAAAGGGAAGTGTGGACCCTCCTGCAAAGTGCAGGATAAGAATGGGCAAGAGTAGGGGATCTGTGTTCAAGCTCTTGCCTCTATGCTTTTATCTTTTGTCTTACTTTTCTAAATCTGAAATAAAGCCCAGAACACCCAACACTACCATAGTGTCCATGGTACAATAAGTCCCCCATTAAGGGAACATTTGTATCTCTCATCCAAAAGAATACAATATGCATTTGGGTGCTGTGTATATATATGTGTGTGTGTGTGTGTGTGTGTGTGTGTGTGTGTGTGTGTGTGTGTGTCTTTATATCCCTGAAAAAAATAACATTTTTTCAGATGTTTTAAATTGTTATTTTATCTTTTTTTTAACAACAGAGAGACATTTACCTTGCTTTCTAAGAGTGCTCCCTCTGGCTCTTAGGCCATCCTGGCCATCAAGCCTCATATACTAAAAGACATGTCATAGAAAGTTTTCATCATGCCCTAAATATCATGTTTATAATGTTGTAGGTAATATTTTCCCATCTAATTATGACATGACGATGAATTATGTACTTATTTTCAATAAAAATTATTTCTTATTCTATTATCAACTAGTTCAGTTTTACCTTATTGTTTATTGATTTTTGTTTTGTTTTGTTTTGAGACAAAGTCTTACTATACGGCCCTGGCTGTCCTAGAACTCAATATATAGATCCTGCTGGCCTTGAACTCACATAAATACACCTGTTTCTGTTTCCCAAGCCTTGAAATTAACATCATGCACCACCATACCTGACTAATCACTTTTTTAGAGATTTTATTTATTTTATTTTTAATTACATGTATATTTGTGTATCTGTGTATGGGTATATACACGAGGTGGGTGCAGTTCTTATGGATGCCAGAAGAGGGTTTGTTCACTGCCAGAAGTGGTTTCTAGGAACTGAATCATTCCAAATCAGATTATTTTTCAATAGTTAAAAGTGGAGTGCATATTTCTGTTTGTTGTGTATTATGTCACATTGATTGAAGACAGAAATGTATGCATGAGAAATCAATTTATTTAACCAACAGAAGAATCAGTACTATGGTAGGAGGATGGGAAGAAAATCCATGAAGCAGAGATTCTGACTTCATTTGTAAGATGAAAAGAAAAAAATGAAAAGGATGAGTTATCTTCACTGTCATGATTCTGATTTCACGGAAAAGGCAATATGGGAAATATTCATGATCTTGCTGTCATCTGTGAAGCTTCAAAAGCAAAAAGCAACACAAACAAACAGTAAGATATTCAAGTGCTAATGGTACTGACGAACTTTCTGAGATTGCAAATGAAAAAATTAATGGATGAAGAATATACTGGACAGTTTGATAAAAATGGCAAATGTCACAGGGTTAGACCTATGTTTGTCCTCACTGACTTCTATATCTCTGTAATGGGCTTTAGACTGACAGTTTTCTATGTAAATATTGATTTTCTATCACAAAAGGAAAGTATATGCAAAGTTGTGTCTCAGGAGAGTTCTAGAAAGTTCATCTACATTTACAGCATTTCCAAATGCATGATACACTCCTGACTTCCACAGATATTACTCGTTTTTAACAGTTGAGAATTTCACAAAATTCTTTCACATCAAGATGAAAGAAATCTACACTCTGCTTTAGGGGAGATTTGCTTTTTGTCATGGTATAAAGACTAACAGCAACATCAATCATAAAATTTTCCCCTTTGATATATATATATATATA